AAACAACGGTGAAACCTAGCCAATGGCATGTGGTCAGTGAGGAAAGAAATGAAATACACTACACATCTATCAAGACTCTTCAAACTAAACTGGTCCAATTTGAAACAAGAGTCAAGTAGGTTAGGTTTCCTTACCATTCCCTTTGCCAAAAGGTATACCTGAGTTCAAACTTACAAGTTTTCTTCTTTTAAAAAGAAAAATTTAGAACAATATCTAAAAGTGGTAAATATGAAGATTCCAAAAAGATTATCTAATATCAATAAACATTTATTAGCTCATTACTGTTGTTTTTGGTATCTACTTCAGTTTTATAATATTTATGTAATGTAAATCTTTTAAAAGTATTAGCAACACATCCAGTTTAAAACTCAGCACAATTCAGATTTTAGTTTAAGAAAATTTCCCATATTGGAACAGAGACTAAAGTGCACAATAAAGTATCCATTTTATCTGGCATAATTACATTTCAAAACGATCAGAAAGGAACATAAGAAATGTTCAAGGAAATGTTCCGATTCATGATAACATCATGACTGTTTAGAATGAATACAGAATGCATAATTTTCTTATAAATTAGGAATGGAATGTACTGAGCTCACTGTATTAGATTAGATTCCATTACTGCGAAACCAAGCCCTTAACAGCCATACTGATCTCCACATTTCCGAATGAATTAAAAGGCTTCCAACAAGCTTCCTTTCCAACACAGGAAATCCTGTTGGAGTCCCCTCTACAAGTATGCGTCATGCTCACGGCCTTTCATTTTGCAACCCTTTAAAAGGCCGACATTAGCTGTACTTTACAGGAAGTTCTTCCTTTATTCCCTCAATAGTTCATAGGATAAACTTGAAGGTGAGCATAAATTGAGCTGTGTTTTCTTATCACAGTGAAGCAGCTGTGCAGAGGGTGAGCCGCCGCCACCCCATGGACCCAAACCTTTCCTTTTTCTCATCTTTGAAATGTATTCAGCTTGAGGTGAGTGGGCCTTCTATGTCTTCTTGTTCTGATTTCTGTATTAATCATCTAGAAATACCTTTGAAAATCAAGGAGCAAACAATCTATTTCCCCTTCCCCAATCCAAAACCAAATGCTAACCAAAATGAAATCTGCAGAAAGATTTGTATTAGTTAACTATGGTCTCAAATTGAATTTGAGGCTCAGAATAAAGACACATGAAAATGCAATGTAATGAAATTTAATGAAGAAAAATTTTACCAAGTGGAGAACACCATCATTTTAATAGGACTGTGGGAAATGATGCTATTTTAAGACACATGAAATAGCAGGTAAGGTGAATTGAGGTTGTTACCAAAGGAATTTTGAGAGCATATTCAAGAGCTACTGCCTAAATAGAAGATTCACAGATTCCTTTTAGAGGAGTTTTTTCACCTCCCATAAACTGTGCACAGATGTCATTGATTAGAGTGAAAATATCCCTGGCTGCATATATTGTTCCAGAGCACATTAGCCTGATTCCCAAACATGGTCTTCTCAACATTTACAACTTTGGAAACCACCTCAAAATAGTCCACATTCTAGTAATAGACCCTATGGTGATCAGATCCTTTATTTAAAGGCAGAAAATCTGCCCATGTCAAAATGGACAAGTCAAGGGTTCATACACATCACAAAAGAGTTAGTAACTCATGATGCTAATTTCTTCCTCAACATTAAGATTCTGTTATGTGAAGAGAGGTCCATCAGATCAGTCCACGCTTTCTGCCATCCTCCAGAATGCTGCCACACTGTGAGGTCTCATGGAGAAGTTCACACATGTTCCTTAGAAACACGGTTCTTGAATGCACACTCTTCCCGTCCTCTACAGTTCCTCCCCTGATGCCTGGGCATCATCTGCCCACTTCTCCGAGGCGCTTACATGCCTTTGGGACTATGCAAAGGAGAGAGGAATGTGGAAGAGGACCCAGAAGCTGGTTTCCCTGAGCCAACTGATGACAGGTGTAGAGAGAAGCCTACCACTTGCAAACCTCAGAACTATTCATGTCGCATCTTCTCTCCTTCAGGGCCTAAGATCTGTACCTAGACTTTGTACTCCTATTAGATAATCCAACTGGAATATTCTGCAATGTGGTTTCTATACTAAACACTCAATATATCATCATCCTATTCTTAACAAGAACAATTTACTGAGTACTTAATAAGTTCTAGGCACTAGGCTAAGTACATGGGTACTACATCATTTACCTGCCACAGCAACACTATGGCATATGTCCTCTTACTGTCCCCTCTGCCCCTCTTCCCCCTCCTCTTCCCTAGTCTTCCTGATGAAAACAAGATTGGACTCACTAAGGTCAGAGTGTGGATGTGGCAGACAGGCCAGATGTTTCCAGAACCCACCGTCTTAAGCATTACACTACACTGAGCCTCATTAAAAAAAAAAAAAAAACTGAACTTAGTGAAGAATAGACCTGAGGAAGACATGTGGCAGAAGGCAATGTCTTATCTTTTGATACCAAAGAGTAAAGGCGCATACCAGCTGCGGTCAAGGATCAGAATTCACCACAGAGCAGGTGAATCTGAGAGGCCACCCATGCCTTGAACTAATTCATCATGAAGCAAAGAGGCAAAGACCTTCAAGTGCAACTATTTGCCAGCAGTAAGCAACAGCCCAACACCTACCTTCACATAGGCACTTCTGGGACACCGTGAAGAAGTCCACACACATGGCAGGATACATGACATCATCTTACACAAAGCTGTCCAGGTTAAAGGACTGTCTGAGATGTTACAGCTTATAAACAGGGAATGGTGAATGTGGAGTTCAAACTCAGATCTTTAGATTCCAGATCTAGACTCATAGTTAGTGATTCTGGCATGCACAATGCTGTCCAACAGACTTTTCTATAATGATGGCCAGAATCTTTATCTGTGCTGTCCAGAGCACATCCAAATGTGGCTGTGGGACCGAGGAATTTAAGAATACATGTCTTAAAATAATTTTTATTTGAATAGTCAACTATCTACCCAGAGATAGCAACAGATCCCACAACTTATGGGCGCAGTCTTACAAGACTGCCCCCACTTCTGATGCCAATTGCAAATCCAGGCTGTCACCTGGCCTCTGAACACCTGGAGGTACTGGGAAGATAATGTTGCCATAGAGGAAACAGAAGCTCTACGACCCTTCCCCCTACTTTGTCCAGTGCATCTCTTCCACCTGGCTGTTCCTGAGTTGTGTCCCTTTCCAATAAACCAGTAATCTAGTAAGTAAACTGCTATCCTGAGTTCTGTGAACCATTCTAGCAAATGATTGGACCCAAGGAGAGGGTTCAATGGAACCCCTGTTTTATAGCTGGTTGGTCAGAAGCCTTGGTGACAACCTGGGCTTGGAACTGGCACCTGAAGTGGGAGCAGTCTTACAGGACGGAGACTTTATCCTGTGGGTTCTGATGCCTCTCAGGTACATAGTGTCAGAATTGAATTAAATCTTAGAACACTCAGCAGGTGTTCTAAGAATTGCTTTTAGTGTTGGAAAAATTTCCACATGTTTGGTAATGAGAAGTACTGAGAGTTGAGTATACAGTCAGAAAGAAAAACAGAATTTTCTCTTACAGTATATTGGACAATACAGGGCTTAAAGTTCCACAAACCATTTCAACTACACCTACTATATGTGTGTATCATGAAATGTATTTTCTATGGAAGCCTGACTACTTCCACATGGGTAAGTAAACCATCAGAAGCCAAAGAAAGGCTCTAATCTTGGTTTAAACATTAACTTTTATATAAAGCTAACAAGCCATATATTAAAAAGCAACAGAGTGCCTTAAACACAGTAAGTGCTCAATTAAAGTTTTTTTAGTAAACAAATAAGGCTTTTATTTCCTAATGCACAAAAGAACTTTAACATCAGATATAACTATAGTAACAACACTCTAATGAGTATTAAAATTCATTGAAATGTTCAGAGCCAATAAAAGTAAAATATAGCAGGCTAATCTATGTGGGGATTTGTCCAAGGTCACTTAGGCAAGTCACTTGGCCTCTCTTGTTTCAGTTTTCTCTTCTGTAGAATGAAGGGACTGACCTGACCCACTGATTCCTAGCTGTTGGCAGCTGTCACATTTTAGCTGTCCGGAATGTCACGGGTACTCAGTAAACCCTTTCTGTTTAATAACTGTAGCTGAATACAGCTTAATATGATACAATCAGATCTAGAACCTTATTCTGTTCTTTTCAGAAATCCATCATCACCTTGCAGAGTCACTAATACAGAGAAGTACATTTTGATCTCTTCTTAGACGGGGATACGCCCCTGCTGCCTAACACATACATAATGACTTCCAAGTCCTACATTTGCAAAGCCTGGTTTTCTCCTGACAATGGAACCAGCACAGTTCTTCTCAGATCTTCAATTTCCTTATTCTTTCATTTCAGCTGAAATAAAATCTCCATTTAAACTCAGAAATGACACCCTGTTTTTAGCCGACACATACAACATACATTTTTCAATAAACTAAACAATTTATGATTGGAGAGTGGGTGGGAAAAGCAGTCAAAATAACTATAGCAGCAAAAGACTGGGTTCACCTAGCAATAGCTTGGATATGCAGCACAAAGCTCTAAAGACCCTAATTCTGTACTTGGGTTTACCATGGTGCACTTCTAAATGCCTACATAACTGAACAGCCCAGCTCAATCTCACATGGCATGCAATCAAGGAAAATAGTGGGCCACAGCAAATAACTTCAAAGTCTTGGCACCACTTAGGTTAATAATACATATTTATTACAATTTATTTTAGCATAGTACTTTTAATTAAATGCGCTAAAGTCTATACCAACCTATTTTCAACCACAGGCAGGCATTATGCACTCTGAAGAGAAGCATCTAGAGCACGCCTTTTTTCAAAAAGTATGCCTCACATGGGTAACAGTTCCTGTAAACACTGGCTTAGAGTGAGATGCAGCTTCTTCCTAAGCTGACCTTCAGAGATAAGATTCAAAGAGTGAGCTGTAAGTTTTAAAGAACTGCTCACTTACCATAATGGCTTTGCCAGTCAGGTGCTATAAACTTTCCATGATGTGCCCTCATGCACTAAAAAAAAGCAAAAGAACAGGGCAAAGATCATGGGCTGGGAAAACATCACCTTTATTCTGTTAAAATATACCCAAATGTGAAAAACATACCAACATTGCTTGTAAATTCCATTCGTTAAACTCAAAAGAGAAAAACGAGAGGCGAACATTCTGATTGAATATCATGGCTTAAAGGCATTTGTTTAGAATATTTTCCTATCGCTTTCTTAATGAAAATGGTAACAATGATTTGGTGTGAACAGTAATTCAGGGTTACATATTTTATGACTTCATTACTTTTAGGGGCTGTTTTTCACTAACCCTATTTGAGATTAAACCATAGTACTTAGATATATGGCAGTAACCACCAGATAAACTAAAAATTTAACATGCAAAAATGGTTGACCCTGAAGTTTAAGACTGGAAGTGGAAAGAGGATGGTTACTTTTCATTATAAGCTCTTTTACTCTTTTTTCAGTTATGTACATATACTACTTTGATAAATAGTTGTTTTTCAAGTTACAAGACTGAATTTTGGAATTCTCTACAACAGCATTTCTGGAATAAGTTTTTTTCCTACAGTCTTCATAGCCATACCATACTTTAATTTTTTCAGTGTGGAGCACAGAATTACAACCTTTGTCAATTGTTTTTTGGAATATACTAATAATCTTCAAGCATTAACAACCCATCAGTGGCTTCAATCCATTCAATAAACATTCCCTCTACATCGCCTCCACGGGAAGAGACCTTACTTGGTACTAGGGACTTAGTGATCCTTAGAAGGAGGAATCCTGACCATGTGTGAGCGCCTGCACTGAGTAAGAGAAATGTGGGCCAGACACAGAAGGGCTCCAGAAGAGGGGTGATCAACTTTGATGGGGGGGGTGCCAAAAAGAACCTCAAGAGAAATGGGTGAACGGAAGACTTTGTACATGGAGATTATGGAAACAACAGTGAGGAATCAAGAGATTGGGTAGGTCCATCTCTTCTAGAATAGGTATGCAGGGAGCGAGCAAAAACACCTGGAAGGACAGGCAGGGAAAGTAAGGGAGCAGGTGCTCGTCATCAGAGGAGCGTCCTCGGCCGCCAGCAACTCAGCTGTGAAGGTGCAGGCCCCTGGGTGTTGGCAGCGGGGGGTCGGAGAGGTGCTGAAGGCCTCCATAGTGTGCTGGAGAGACCCACAACCACAAACGGGAGTCACACGGGACCAGAGAGTATGGGTCTAGCAGGTGGCCTGACCCTGTAGAAGACCAAAGGGAATGAAAAGAATATGGAACCAGAAAAGACACCAAATAGCCAAAGCAATCCTGAAAAGGAAGGATAAAGCAGGGGGGATCTCGCTTCCCAACTTCAAGCTCAACTACAAAGCCACAGTAATCAAGACAATTTGGTACTGGCACAAGAACAGAATAATAGACCAATGGAACAGAATACAGAGCCCAGATATAAACTCAAGCATATACAGTCAATTAATATACAATAAAGGAGCTATAGGCATACAATGGGGAAATGAAAGCCTCTTCAACAGCTGGTGTTGGCAAAACTGGACAACTACATGTAAGAGAATGAAACTGGATTATTTTCTAACTCCATACACAAAAGTAAACTTGAAATCGATCAAAGACCTGAATGTAAGTCATAAAACCATAAAACTCTTAGAAGAAAACATAGGCAAAAATCTCTTGAACATAAACATGAGCAACTTTTTCCTGAATGCATCTCCTCGGGCAAGGGAAATAAAAGCAAAAATGAACAAGTGGGACTGGACTATAT